TAAAATGCTTATCAAGGAAGCGCACAGACGAGTGCGATTAGACGTTCGTGCAATTTCAGATGCGGTGACCAGCACTTCAAGGAAGATGCAAACGAGCGGCGACTACGACGATGACAAACCGGGCATTGTGGGCGGTAAGGAAAGTAACTTTTCTCCTCGACATTCTGAGTGTTTTTACGCCATTAGCCAGTGTGAAGCGCTGAAAGTACAACGTGGACCAAGGAGGGCATGAATAATTAAAACGATATCAGTGGTTTAACATACCAAAACCACGATATGTTTACAAGAGATGCCGTAGGGCATGCCTCGGGGAATGTCGACCAACTGGTGTTCTGCAGGCAACATATAGGATGTTCACGATACACAGGCCTCTCGCATTTCACCTGCATCGAAATGCGACCGCCTCGACCGGGATCGAACCCGTGACCTCCGGTTCAGCGGCCGAGCACCGTAGCAGCTACCTCACCACCTCGGGTCGGAGCGGACAAAAGACAGGAGCGTATACTTGCAAGTCTATCCAAAAAACAGCAAGAAAGAAAAAACGCACGCAAAGTGCAGAGTGGCTCCTCAGGCCAAGATGAACACGTGCAGTGATTAACGGTGACATAACTTATCAACCCTCCCCCCTCCACTCAAAAAAAAAAAACAGATTAGCTGAGCACGAGTAAGCGAGATTAGATGCAGAAGGTGAGAGCACATAGGCTATCTTACTTGCGGACCGGTGCCTTTCAAATTCGTTAATTCTTTTACGCATGTGAGAACCCACATGGCCTCCCAAAAGGCCTTGGCAGGAATTTTTTTTTGGGTGGTGGGGGGGGAGGCACTTTTTTCACTTGAATCGATAGCCCGGCAGGCTAATGTGGCAAGTGTGGCGGGGCAGGCAGACCTCGTCAATTAATCAATTACTAAAGTTCTTATTTGGGACAGCGCGTCGTCACTCTCTTTCACTGTCTTGTGTTTTCGTGCTGTTTTTCGCTTCGTTAATCAATTACGACCCTCTCGCAGGCGTCAAGAGAGACAAGTCACTACAGTGGGACAAACGGAAAGGTAAGGAACACATAGCGATTTCAGTTATAGTGTCATGACATCTTTTTTTTTTTAATAGAAAGTAGACAATAGGCATGGGGTACAAAAAAGAATATTTCTTTTTTTAATTAGGTTGGCCTTTCCAAGCCAGACCGAGTTTAGAAGATAAGATAGATTTTTGGAAGTATTAAAAATACTTGAATTGGGAGTGAACAAAACCAGCGTTTGGAGTTGTCTCCTTCGAGGCTTCAGCTATTGCTGGCTGTCTGGCTTCGGCAACACCGCCACTGGTAAAACCTTACTATCTTTGTTTTGTTCGGTTGCCGCTTCGTGGGCCAGCCAAGTCGCGAAAAGTTGGTCGACGAGTTATAGGAGCTGCGCAAAGGTGCCTTTTATCCTGCCAAAGATCTTTATTAATACCTTCAATTGAGCGAAGAGCGTATGAGGAACCCTAGTTCAGGATCCCAAGGATGATTCTTGGCGATGTGTCGAGCCCGTTGTGGAGTGGCTCGGATGACCTCAGGAGGTCCGTCGCGGAGGGGGGGGGGGGGGGGGGGCGTCCCGCAGCTTTCTTTTGCATAATTGATAGAGGAGAGTTGGCAAAGGAGGAAATAAGTTTACGGTGCGCTGCGCTGAATTCTGGCACAGAACACCGACCTGTCACAGCCCGGAGAAATTCCCTACATAACAATGTGGGCGTGACTCGTTCTGATAGGCAATACTAGGAAAAGTCTCAGTTTGCAACTGACGTATACTGCCACTGCTTCCTCTCGCGAGAAAGCTTACGGTTGTGGCACGCGGTGAGTGTTGCGAAGGTGTTTGCAATGACGGAGGATGTCTCCGTAACGCTGCAAAAGGTCCCCCCACCACGAACTGGTTGTCTCACGGCGCCGAGGGCACCGGTATCAATTTCACTAGCCTTTGCTTCGCATTCCCCGAGTACGTGATTTACTCTCACGGCATCGCCCTCGCAGACTTGTGGGATGCACCTAGGGGTACATTATGTGGAACAGGAACGAGTACAGTATATACGTACAGATCTGGAGCTTTCTCCAAGTGGCCCATCTTCTTGTATGGCACGGTCTTGAATGCCAGGTGGAGCGACAGGCAGAATTCCTTCATTAACTTCTTGTACTCCCCATGTTCAAGGATCTTCACTCAAATTAGCCTTTCTCAATGCTATAACCGTCTCTGTGCTGCCTGCAGCGCTGCTCCTATGCACGGTCGGCTCCACCCTGACGGACGAGGCCGTGTACCCGGTCAAGGAGCGACTCTGCGACCACTACGTCTTCACCCACGTCACCGTGCTGGGTTCCGAGCTGGGCACAAACTACGGTATCAGCGCGTACATGACATTTCGTAAGGTACGTGTCGTCACTGCGCGGAAGTTCGCGAGTGAGTCTATTGTGGCGAATAGCACGGCGTAACGTCGATGGCTACTGTTACAATGTTGGTTCAAATGCAGCGCCCCCACGCGGCGCTGATAGTTGTGTCGAGGTGTGCAAGCCTGGCACGGCAGTGGGGTGGCCGTTTTGGGAAATAATAAAACACTTCGTTCTGGGCTAAGGGCTCAAGATGTTCTCGTGTTCTTCGCGGGCCTGATGGCCTACTGTTCATGGTTGTCACTACCGCCTGGCCATCAGTTATTCTTCACATGCAACAACCACATAGTCGCATATACGGCACTGGGCATGCCTCGCCGCGGTGGTGGCTAAGGTACTCGGCTGCGGACCCGCAGGACGCGGGATCGAATCCCGGCTGCGGCGACTGCCTCCATCGGAAATGTTGTAGGCCCGTGTGCTCAGATTTAGGGGCACGTTGAAGAACACCAGGTGGTCTACATTTCCGGAGTCCTTCACTACGGCGTCTCTCATAATCGTATGGTGGTTTTGGGACGTTAAACCCCACACATAAATCAATCAATCAACGGCACCGGGTATGTGAACGAAAATGATAGGTTTAACCTTAAAGGGTCCCTAAACCACACCGAGTTCAAGTAGTTTCTTTCTCGCCTTCACTGACCTTACTAAAAGCGACGTCTACTCATCACTAATAATTTTTTTTATTCTAAATCATGTGAAATATGAGCAATAAGCGGGTAGACAGTCAGGGCTTTGCGCTTTTCGACTGCAGCCTGCTGTCTCCACTTGCGCAGTCGCAAATGGAGACAACGAAGTGAGATCAGTTTGTCGCGCATAATAGTCATGCAAGACAAGGCAGGACGGGCACGCGACTGCACGACAAAGCGGGCCAATCGAAAACTCACCACAGATATCTTTCGTATATCGGCCAATCTAGAGCTTATCTCCCCCTGACGTCACGTGAGCTATCGGCCCTGACGTAATGAACTGTGCCGCAAAGACGGTAAAAGCATGCATAAAGAGATAATAACACGCTTGATTTGGTATATTTAGAGGCTGTTTAGGGTATCCCCGGGATGACGAAAGAGTAGAGTGGGCCAGGGAACAAACGGATCTCAAGGACACCTTAGTCGAAAGCAAGGAGAACGGGGCTGGTAGCGAGAAGGCGAGATAACTGCTGGTAATTAAATGGGCCCTGTAACACCTTTTTAAGTAATAATTGAATAGCGTGACTCCTCATTAGTCACGTACCGCATTTGTTTTTTTAATATCCCCGTCATATCTGTTGTTCATACAGTCATGTTATGCCATGCCAAGTTTGGTATCGATACCATTATCGAAACGGCCAGGAGAGCTAAAAGTCGTAGGCGGCTAGATAAGATAGATACGCGCAAAGTCGCTGAACTTCGCTAAGAAATGCTTCGCATTTACAACAAAATAAACGTTACTCACATTGAGCGTCTAGGGAAGCGTCTGCTTGTGTGCATACGACAATTCCGGCGAGATCGATATATCTGAGCGATTCGCTGAGCCGCCATCATGTTTAAACAGCAACGTAGCCTGCATCGTATTTGTCTACGATGCGGTCTTCTCGGAGCTGTCTATTTTGCCGGCTACTTGAGAATTGGAATGGGACTTAAGATGGCAGCCATCCATTTGAATTGTTCAGTTGATGAAGGGTGTTTTGTTGTGCGGTATACATATTGTATTTGTTTTTCTGTATGTTACCCGCTGGCAGTTTTCGTACATTTTTCACAATCTCCGTTATGTTGTGGTATTCAGTGTACTTCCTACTATCTGGATAGGCTGTACTGTACTTGCCGCAAATTGAGCTTGTGTTCTGTCTTGTAATCTTGTTGTATTCCCCCCACGGTATGCCTTATGGCGCTGCGGGTATCAAATAAACAAAAATAAACAAATAAATCATTTAGCTTTATATTTAGCCGTCTATATATATATACGGTGAGTATTGGATCACATCCGTCGTCGCTCCGTTGGCGTATGCGGTAGAGCTTCCAGGCCTTGACGAAGTTTAAGTGGCGTTGGCTCAACGTGCCGAACCCACGGATTTACTCATGCGCTACGAAGAACACGCTTCCGGCACGCGCTCGCGTATACGTGAAAAAGGCGCAGTGGCACGGCTGCTGGATAATCCGCGGGCCGTGGCTGTGGCATCACGAAACATCAACCGTGTAGTTTCGGGCGGCCGAGACAGCTGCCGTGGCCTGCCGGTCGACTCACTTGAGTATATTCTAGTTTACTATAGTTCTGGGCAAGCTGTATCGCGTTATAATCTCGAGAAAATAGAAGTTAGCAAATCGATTTTTTTCTTCCTGTCACACCAGATTGGATGATATCGAACTGGCAGCACATCTGTTAATTGAGTCATCCGGCTTATATATATATATATATATATATATATATATATATATATATATATATATATATATATATATATATATATATATATATTCGCACACGCCGTAAGCGTCCCAGATACGATTGCGGGTCTGCGCAACTACACGCCCACGTGACCTTCAGCGCGCCTGCAGCGCATATAAAAGTTGCGATTCGGTCTAGCGCGGTGTATTTCAAAAAGTGAAGCTGCGAACGCATAGTCCGATTCCAATACACGCCCACCCGCCAGAAGCCGTCGAACGCGCCGATCCGTCCACCACACAATGTTCAACCTGCGGGCCCTGAAGGAGAAGGAGAGGCAGAGGCGGGTGGCGTCCCTGCTGGCGTCCCAGAACGCGGCGCGGCGTTCGTCCGCCCTGACGCGCGTCACGAAAGACGTGAGCGAAATGGAGCTGCCCCGCACGTGCCAGACGGTGTTCCTGGACCCGGACGACCTGACGAACTTCAAGGTGATCATCTGTCCCGACGAGGGCATCTACCGGGGCGGCCGGTTCGTGTTCCACTTCCGGGTCGGCCCCAACTACCCCCACGAGCCGCCGAGCGTGAAGTGCGAGACGCCCGTGTTCCACCCGAACATCGACGAGAACGGCAACGTGTGCCTGAACATCCTGCGGGAAGAGTGGAACCCCGTGCTGACGCTAGGCTCTGTCGTGCTCGGACTGCTGGTGCTCTTTCTGGAACCCAACACCGAGGACCCGCTGAACAAGCAAGCCGCCGAAATGCTGCTTAACCACCGGGAAGAGTTCGCGGATTTAGTACAGCGCGCCATATTCAGGGCGCGCAACTCGGGCGTCGCCAGTTCCTCTCGCATGCCCATGTGACTCCCATAGCTTCGTTTGTTTTTAATCTAGAAAGTTTTTTTTTAGTAACTGACTGCGGTGTTACCCGCTTGAACGGACATCAATAAATCTGTGCGATTGCGGCGATGGAAGCTTTTGCTGGTTTCACGTGACGTGCCTCAATTTAATTGTATATACAGGGGCATCGACAAAATCTTGTTAACATGTGTCCCGTGTACAGCTTCAGTTTAGCCTACTTAAGGTTGTGTGTTCGAAACGTGGCCACATCCCCCTTACAGCCACTGAAGAGGGTATGGTGCAAAGCCTGCCCCATGCATTCACATAGGCGGGGGGGGGGGGGGGGGCGTTTCTACTCGGTGGGGGATTTGACATAAAAGAAACGTCTTGCCCGGCCGTGGCAGGACAGAGGTGGTTGATGACCGCACAGTCAGCTTCACCCTGCATGGGAATGACGGGTAAAACGAATGGCAAGCTTCATTTTTTCGGCTCATTGTGGTCTGGAGCCGTGTCGTCGCAAGTTTGTTTGCACAGCCTTCTCGGGCTCACCCCACCGCGGTGGTCTATAGTGGCTAAGGTACTCGACTGCTGACCCGCAGGTCGCGGGATCGAATCCCGGCCGTGGCGTCTGCATTTCCGATGAAGGCGGAAATGTTGTATAGGCCCGTGCGCTCAGATTTGAGTGCACGTTAAAGAACCCCAGGTTGCCGAAATTTCCGGAGCCCTCCACTACGGCGTCTCTCAGTGGTTTTTGAACGTTAAACCCCACATATCAATCAATCAACCATCTCGGGCTCACCAGCAGGCACTGCGTTATTTAATCGACCATGCGTAGTCGCGCGAGCTCCACCTGGGCAGTCGGACCAGTAAGCAGCTTCTAGGATATTCCCACCACTCCGCTTGCGTTGAAGCGATAGACGCGAAGAGCGCCATGGTCGCTCGATTCAACAAATCGCGTATGCCACGAACAAACGAATTAAACACCAGCTTGCCATTAAGATAATTTTGTTGGCCTTTAGACAATGGGTGTGCACTGATACAGTGCATGGACACGCACGTTGGCAATGCAACAGCACCGCCTTATCTGTCTTGTAGCTGCGCATTCGTGAAGGCGCGGCCCCTGAGACTGGTTCGTGCAGGAGATAAACACTTTATATCTCGTAGGCCATAGAACGTAACAATTTGGCAGGCCGTTCGAGACGTCATTGTATCCCGATTTGAACGATAAGAACACCCCGGCATAGTGGTATTTAAAGTCATTTTGGAATGTAATTACAGTAAATGAATAGAAGAACCGGCTAACGGCAGCTAGCGTTCACATACGTAGGCGGTCGAGATATTTAGCATCACAGATGTCCCTCTCCATTGCACAGCTACCCGTAAATTACGACGAAGCGCTTATCTGCAGATGGCTTCCATTCAATCTCTTTATCATCATAATACACTATCGCAGTCTGCGTTACGCGAACGAACTTGAATCTACTCAAGCCGCCTATTTCACGATTCTACGGCACGTATGCCTTCCCCCTAGTGAAAAAAAAATCTAGAAATGTCGTTTGGTCTTGGAGGCTTTCGTTCTGGCTATAGCGGTTGTCACGGCCCCGTCCGAAATGCCAGAGAGTAGCACACGGGTCTAAAGGGTAATGCAGCTTGACAATGCTCCTGCCCCATTTTACAGATGACAGCAGATCATTGCAGACATATAAAGAATAAGCGCGACAAACTTACTCGAGCATTCTGTTTACGCACATCGTATCTCACTTCAACAAAAATAACTTGCTAATAGATAACCAACATGGCTTCCGCAATAACCGCTCGTGCAAAGCTCAGCTGTTCGAATTGGTAACTGATCTTAATGATTATCTGAATAACTCCCGCTACACTGACGCAATTTTTATAGATTTTGCTAAAGCATTTGACCGCGTGCAACACAAAAGGTTGATGACTAAAATCTGTAATCTACAGCTAGACGATAAAACAACCCAGTGGATAAGCGGTTTTCTTACTAACAGGGTGCAGTCAGTTAAACTTAGCAACGTTATCTCTACTCCCAGACCTGTCAAATCCGGGGTACCCCAGGGATCCGTACTAGGCCCTCTGTTATTTCTAGTCTATATTAATGATATCGGATCCAATATTAACTCTTCACTGCGCCTCTTTGCAGACGATTGCGTAATTTATAAGGAAATAACGGAACCAAACGACGTAAACATCTTGCAGTCCGACTTGACAAAATTATCAGAATGGTGCCATTTATGGCAAATGGAAATAAATGTAAACAAAACCAAACACGTACGCTTTTCATCCGTTGCACATCCTTCGCCCAATGAGTATGTCATAAACAACTTGGTAATTCAGACGGTTCCATCTGTTAAATATCCAGGTATTTTTTTATATAACCTGGACTAGCCACGTAGAATACATTACCGCGAAAGCGCTACGGAAACTTGGTCTTCTTAAGCGCCGCCTGAAACTTGCAAACAAAGACACGAAACTTCACGCATACAATACTGTTATCCAACCCTAGAACATGCTTCCGTAGTATGGCACCCCCACACAGCAACCCTTACTGATACGCTCGAAACTGTCCAAAACAAAGCCGTGCGATTTATTTTGTCATGTTATTCCCGATATGAAAGTGTGTCATTCATTAAGAAAAAATTAAATCTCCCCTGTCTTGCCATGCGCAGGAAATATTTCCGCCTATCTGTCTTCCACAAATTATACCACAGTGATTCGCCGTTCTGCCATACGTTCATTCACTCTGCTTTGTACATTTCCGCCCGCGTTGACCATGATCATAAAATTGAACCTATATTTTCTCGCACAAAAAAAAAAACATCAATACTCCCTCCTTGTCTTAGCGGTAACCGAGTGGAATGCTCTGCCTGCCAGCATTGTAACGCATACACAGAAATCATCTTTTCAGTCTGCATTATTTGCGTTCCTTGAATGTGTTGGACAATCTTAGGCATTGCTGTATAACGTGTCGTGCAGCTTTTTCAATGTGCTCGCTTGTGAAAACCTTGCTGTGCTATTTCTTGCTTATCTTGGTTGACTGACTTTGTAGCCTGCGCATGTTTTTTTTGTTTTTTTTTTGTCTTCTTTGTTTGTTAAAAAATTGCTTTTGTCACTGATTACTGTATAAAAACCCCCTTATGTAATGCCCTAGAGGCCCTTAAGGTATATAAATAAATAAATAATACGCGAGCCAAAATAGAATTTTGATCAGCAAGCATATAACGTATGTATGCATGAGTATTTATAAATGCACGAATGAAAACACATACCTACGAATGAAAGTGGGGACTATGATTATATAAATTTTCATGCCCGATGCACAAGTATATATACACAGTTCTTTGGTAACACCTTTCACGAGATTTCGACACAAGCAAAAAAAAAAAAAAGAAAGTAGGGTACCCCTACCTAATCACCTAATGTGGGGGCATGAAGTGTGTACCATTCTTTCGATCAGTCGTATACCTGTCCCGCAATAGTTTAAAAGGCAAGGCTGCGGCCACGCAGGTTCCTGACAATAATGGTGAACAGGGGACTCTGACCTTGCAATCCAAGAACAGTTTACGTCCCCTCTTGACTCCAGGAAAGGCAAGGGCCAAAGACAGGCCACCTACTAAGCTTAGTCATCCCTTTATCTTCGCATTTTTTTTCATACATTGTGAAGCATGTCTTTTGGACTCGACCGAACAAGGAGGTGGGGGGAGGGGCGAAGGTTTTCCACAGCGTTCCGTCTCCTTTAATGGCGAATTCGTATTAAGCCTAGTCCGCCTGGGTGGATGAGTGGCTAGGGTGCTCGACTGACCCGAAAATCACCGGTTTGATCCCGCCCGCGGTGTCTTATTTGGTGGTCTTATAACGCTGGATGGTCAAAATTACTGGAGTCCTGCACTTGGGTGTTTTTCGTAATCACGTAGTGGTGTTTGGACGTAAAATTCTCCATAATAAAGACCAATATATTGATCACTCCTATGCGATGCGCACGTATTGAAGATTCCATTGGCACGTCAGATTTGGGTGCACGTTAAAGAACCCCAGGTGGTCTAAATTTCCAGAGCCCTCCACTACGACGTCTCTCATAATCATATGGTGGTTTTGGGATGTTAAACCCCACATATCAATCAATCAATCCATTGGCACGTGGGACGCACGCTTAATCTTGTCTGCAGCTGTGACGCAATGAAGTCATTTTTTGGCGTGCACCGTTATCGTGGTCCCCACGAGGTTTCGATTACAGTAGACCCTCTTTTACAAAGGGCGGCTCTGGTTCGTGTGCTACAAATTGTTTCCGGTGCACGATCTACAGGCCGAATTCGTCACAACTGAGCGGGTATAGTTTTTTCGCATCAGTATCGTACAATCTGAAGAATGACGAAACATCCCGCTATCACGTTAATATATAGCGCGAAACATGTTTTTCTTCTTGCTGAGATTCGCCAAGTTGGCACAAGAAAAACTTCCCCGAATTTCCGCGTTACACCACTCGCTCTTTTTTTTTTCAGCGCTGTATCCTATATGTTCTTCGCCACACTTTAGCGTGAGCATTGCGCAAGCTCTATTCTAAGCGGTGCAAGTTGGGCCGTGTGTTACACGTAACACCGGACAGCGTTCTTGTGCAAGAAGCGAGCAGGTTGACCACACCAGCCTCGTCGGACAAGTATCGAGCCCAGCGTCTGCCTAAACGTCCGAAAAGACTTCGCCTAGTCGCAAAACTTTAGCGCGTCTGAATTACCATCAACGCAATGAGCGCCAACCCTATGGATTCGGTCCAACGTCAGCAGCAGAAGCAAGTGCAACAGCAAGAGCGGCAACATGAACGTGCTGGAACGAGTCAGGGTGCTAAGGAACGTTCCTCGGCCACCCTGGCCCGCGTCGCAAAGGACATAAACGACCTGAACCTGCCAAGCACTTGTCATACGGTGTTCCCCGACCCGGACGACCTCATGAACTTCAAGCTGATCATCAGTCCCGATGAGGGCTTCTACCGTAACGGCCGGTTCACCTTCAACTTTCGAGTCGGCGACAACTATCCGCACAAGCCGCCCAAGGTGAAGTGCGAGACGCGAGTGTTCCACCCGAACATCGACCTCAAAGGTCACGTGTGCCTCGACATCCTGCGAGGCGACTGGAGTCCCATGATGACCCTGGGTTCGGTCGTGACCGCCCTGCAGTTCATCCTCCTCGAACCAAACACTGATGATCCGTTCAACGAGGAAGCTGGACAGGTGCTTCTTCACAACCGGAAGCTGTTCGAGCAATACGTCAGAACATCCATGTCAGGAGGGCGCGTCGGTTCGACGTACTACGACTGTTGCCTCGAGTAACGTGTCGTCTGCTGTTCTTGTAACCTGACGCACTGCGCACCTGTAGCAGACGGCAATAAATATGTGCGGTGACGTGACCCACAATTATTGCCTCGAGTAACCTGTCGTCTGCTGTTTTTGTTAACCCCACATATTGTGGACGCATAGCAGACGCATATAAATGTGCGTTGACGTCGGCCACTTGTGCCTGTTGCTAAAACACATATTTACATGCATAGGCGTGTGAACGAGAGAAAGTTGCAGGGACCCCCCCCCCCCCCAACCCCCTGCAACTACGTGTTGGTTAGGTTCTAATTATGCTCCATACTCTACTGGACCGTTCTCGTCATTTTTAATGCACATTTTTATGGTTAAAGCCATTTCACATGGCACAAAAAGTTGCGATTTTCAGGCTGCGAATTCGCTCGCAGCGAAAAAAAAAGGGGGGGGGGGGTATAGTTTGCTCCCGCCGCAGTTGTCTGCGGCGACCAATACGTTGAAAATTTTCGCTCTGATCGCAGCGGCGGGAGCGATTTTCGGTCGGGACCCGTCGAAATGGGGCCACGCCGCCCAAGCCGTCAAAATTGTGTCGGCCGTTTGTTTTGGTAATGGCCGATGCTGTGCATTTTAAAATGAATTTTGATTGGTGGGCGTTCTCAAATGACGAAACAAGCGGGTCATTCGTTACCGTTCATAGAGACTTAATGGTATCATAATGCACCGATCATGACATTGCGTTCGAAAAATTCTGCAGTGTCTGCCACAAAGAACAGGGACAAGAAATCACCGCTTTTGTCGCAGAGCGAAAATTACGGTGCATTTGCAGTCCACGTGAAATCGCCATTATCGGCGGTTGTGAACAGGATTTTTTTTTTCACAGCAATCGCGGCATGTGAAAAAGCCTTTACACGTGCTGTTGCGTTTAAAGAACTCTCCCGTAAATCCTGCAACTATTGACAGGCTTTCATTAGACCCCGTCATCGCTTCGTTTTATTTTGGCGTTCATCGCGGATTTCGTTTTCTTTCGGTTTTGGCCTGAGGGGGTCGGCGAGTGATACTTGTCACCCCCCCCCCCCGACCAACTTCCTCAATGAATAACCCTTCTCACGTCTCTTCCTTGGAGCAACAATTTGCGTCCGTTTATGTCGCCATGGTAGCACGTCATGCAGCCTAAAAGAGCGCGTGATGCTTAACTCTTAGGGTATGTTCCAGTACTCATGCTATATGACTAAATAAAAAGCCAATCGGACAGCAACTTAAGCCTCGTTCCGCTCCTCCGCGGTAGCCGGCTAAGTAGACATCTTTGGAAAGACAGTATTGGAATCGAACACGATGCAGGCTGATTTGCTGTCTAAAGCAGCTGCACCGCAGAACGCTCGTATCTCGCTGGTATACGACCGTTCACCACGCTTTCTCTGTTTTTTTTTTTTTTGGGGGGGGGGGGGGCGTATTATACGCGCCGTTTAGTTCAAATTTCGTGTGTTCGCGCGCGAAAGAAGTTAAACTCTGTTTTTCTTAGCTTTCTCCGCTCGACACGAGATGGCGCTGCGTCGCGCAGACATCGTCTGCAGATTACTTGGAAGACAACAGGGCTCGATGCTCTGAACGTTAACCGTCTACTATATCTGTCCAGAATCAGAACGTAGCCTTACCGCCGTATTCACAAACGCTCCTCGACTCGACTTTCACCCTTCACTTGACAGGGTTGCGCACAGCGCCGCTGCTCGGCTGAAAATGACGCTGTGCTACTCAAAAATAGCAGCAAATTACTACTGATATGCAGTGACTTTCCCTGCCTAGCGATGGCGCTCCCATCGGCTTTTTCAATTGAAGGTGGAGCGCTGAGTGAAGGGGCGTTCTACAATAGGGGGGTTAGAGGAGTTTCGCCATGCCTCTCTTCACCAGCCGTGTTAACGGCGTTGCGGTTGCGCTGCCAAGGTGAAGGGCATGTGTTCTCTCCGACGCCGCGTTTTGGTGGCGATAAAATCCAAAAACTTCCGTATACTTAGGCTTACGCCTTGTACATGCGCTACCCGCACAGCCGCAACACACGTGGAGGGACTCCTGCCGTAGCCAAGCGGGCGGAAGGTGAAAGAGCGTCGCTGATTCGCTAATTTGCCATCCGTCTGAGTGCGGCAGTTGTCCCGACACGTGCATTGCGGCTGCGTGGGTAGCGCATGTACAGGCCCTTGAGTGCATGTTTGATTGATTGATATGAGGAGTTTAACGTCCCAAAACCACCATATGATTATGAGAGGCGCCGTAGTGGAGGGCTCCAGAAATTTCGACCACCTGGGGTTCTTCAACGTGCGCCCAAATCTGAGCACACGGGCCTGCAACAGTTCCGCCTGCATCGGAAATGCAGCCGCCGCAGCCGGGATTCGATCCCGCGACCTGAGGGTCAGCAGCCGAGTACCTTAGCCACTAGACCACCGCGATGAGGCTAAGTGCATGTTTAGCGTACCGACCAGGCGGTCAACTTGGAATTGGGAGTTAAACGTTAAACAAGAAGCAAAACAGAGAGGCGAGCATGTTGGTGCTAAATAATTACGACGTAAATATCGCGTGAAAGAAGACGGGGACAAGAAAGTGAACAACCGCAAACGCTTACTCACAACTGAAAGCTTTATTGCTTGAACCGAAACTGCATAACATCTAAACTTGACGCTCGACTGAATCCGGCGCATGCGCATCGTAAGTGAAGCAAAAAAAAGCAATAAACCAAAACCATTACACACCTCCTGCGTCCCATTAACTACCATGTCTACCCCCCTTTTACTTGAGTATATAGTATCACTTCCTCTTCCAATAAGGCCAAAGAAGGATCGCTAACGAACATAGAATCCTCGCGTTAATATGGAAAGCCTCAGCTTTCCATACAATGCACTGTTTTGTGTGTACAGTAAACCAGCGCATTTTATATTCTACCCACGTGATAAAGCACGCGAGAGCTGGGGCTATGAACGCGGTTGAAGCAAAGGACAAACGAGCTGGTCCATCTCTTCCAAGGGTGCATGCAATAACATTCCCTAGCGTGTTCCACGTGGCGAAACGACCCGCCCGTCGAGCATGAAGGAATCGCGAAGGGCGGGGGGGGGGGGGGGGGCTTGTTTTAACAGCAACTGGGAACTTAAAGTTTGTGGGCGTGGTTGTGATTGCTGGCGCACGTGTCACCTCGACTGACGTCAGCGGTCGGCTCGTATACCCACACGTACTGCGCTCTCAACGCGAAGCGACAGCGAAAAGTGTACTTCCCTCTGGAGCAGCCGCATTCGCTAACAGCAGCATTTTGTAGAGCCACGAGATATAGGATCCGAAACAGTTAGCTGCCCCTTTTACTTCGTATAGTCTACAAATTGTATATTATACGAAGTAAAAGTGGCAAATGAGTTTCACCGCAAGGGCTAAGCAAGGAATGCGATAGCAGTAAACTTTACTGCTATCGCATTCGTTGCTTAGCCCTTGGGGTGAAACTCGTTTTTTTTTTCGCGGCGTAAGCGCACGGTCACCGCGACAATCTTGACGTGCGTCGCAATCTCGTGAGATTTACGACTCGTGACGCTTCGCTATAATTCCCCTGAATTTCGGTGACGTTCACCTTAGGATGCATCATGTTACTTAGGGACCCATTGGCTAGGGTGCAATGTTTCTTTATTTTTTTTCGGCGCATACCCTTGACAACACAACCGCAAAGTAACCGCGGTTCCACACACAAAGCGCGTGAAAAAGACACCTCAATCATCACCGTCATCATTTCCCTAGTGTGACGCACATATTTTGAGGCGGCTATCATGTTCACGTCAGCCGTGCACCTGATTACATTGTTCAGTGGTGTCATCCCGGCGTAAATTTTGTGTCTCCATTACATCGCACGAAGCCGGACCCGCGACAGGTTTGTGTAAGCTGTATCGCGTTAAAATTTCAAGAAAGTGAGAGCTTGCGAAATGATTTTCCTTCCCGGGTTTCACCCGACGGGATATTACCATACTGCAAGCACTCTGGTATGAATTTATCCTGCTCGTTCTTTTGCTTAGTTTTGTACGCGCGTGCATGTCCCTTGCTACAACCAAGGACGTGTGTTTAGAAAAAGTGGTTAACGATTTTGAGTACTTGGTACTATGGGAGAGCATATAGCCGTCCCGTTATCAACTATGCCAATTCGTTTGCCATTATGATTTATTAACGCTGCGGCGACGCGACGGCCAAGTTAGGGTTGCACTTATGTACCTAAAAGGCTATCTACCTTGTACGGGTTTTTACAATACGTAAGAACGCAGTTTAAGCAGAAAAAAGTAAATGCATGCGCACAAGTTTATTACCAAATGTATTTTCTAAGCATACGACGCGTTTCTTATATTTAGCACGTTCCCGAAAAACAGATTTCGTTAGTTTTCGGACAGAAAAGCTTGCTATTTCTTCCTTTTAACCGTATTCACAGCGATATACGGTGTACTTGCGGCGTTTTATTACAACAGAAACTCCATATTATTGTTTGCTACAATGTATCTTGTATTTAGGTACAATACAGGCAGATGTGGACGACCCGTTACGGTGGTCCAGTGTTTGACTGCTGCAGGACCGAATCCCTGCCGCGTAGGTCTCATTTTCGATGGAGGCAGAAATGTCGAGAACCCCAGGTGGTCGAAGTTTGTGAAACCCTCCACATAAGGCGTCTCTGATAATCGTATTGGAGTTTTGGGGCGTTAAACTCAATCAATAATTCTTATGACACATGTCCTTGATATGGATGAGGGTTTATCTCATGTCGAACCCCAACTTCTCGTTGGTCTTTCTATCGTTATCTACATTCGCGTTATATTGAACGGTGACTGGGCGACACATGCCGTAGCGGCGACTCTAGATTAATTTTTAGCCTCCTCAGGTTCTTTATCGAACACTTCAATCTAATCGCACGGCTGTCCTTGAATTTTTTTTTGTCCCAATCGAAATGCGGCCCACGGCCACAGCAACGTGATACCTTAGCTCTCATAAGCTACCTCAAACAAACAAATCAATCAGTCAATCAATCGATTGTTTGACTAGTCAATAAGTAAGTTAGGCATCCAATAATCTTTTCGGTCAAATAAAAAAGTCAATCATTCAGTCAATAAAGTCCGCAAA